CCAAAAAAAGGTACGATCGAAAACGAAAAGGGCGGGTACCGAGGGCTTGGGAAATACACTTTGGATGACACTCGAGCAGATAAGAGCGAACAGTCTTAAAGTGATTGCTGTTGTTGTAGTAGTTGAATTCTCATTTCTGAATAAATATCGCTGATCCCCCCATACACTAAACGTTGTTTTTCTATGAACGTGCCCCTTCCCGGGGTTCGCACCCTGTTTTCTTTCATCCGGGGACGTCTTGAGCCTCAAACTGAACGGCGGGCCCCCGAGTTAAAACAACAACGGTTCCCGCCGGATGCTTCCTCACAAACTATTGAGATATAGTTGTCGTTTGAGCTTTCCTCGCAATGTACCCAAGAATCGCATTATCGCTCAAGACTTCCTCACAATTTATTCAGATGCCGATCCTCGACACTCAGGAATAACGCTGTCGCTTTGGCCTATCTCACGCTTTACTTGGGAATCGCGCTATCGGTCGAGACTTCTTCGCGATTTACGCAGGACGCACGTTTCAGCAACCCGCCTGCTCGACCTGGTTGCCTGGGCCCTCCTTCCCGTCCCGCCTGTTAGGGTCTAGCCGTCCGATCTGCCCGTCTGGTTCTGCCTCGTGATTGCTGTTCCTAGCCCCGTCTTCTGCTAGTCATTCTCTCTCGTGTTCCATCCTCCTTCCCTCGCCCGTGTCCCTTTCTTCCATCCGTCCTTTTTTTCCCCTGGCTTAGGGGCTGCATGAAACACATGTTGCAGGTAAGAAAGGTATACCCCCAAGGGGGCACGATCGAAGACGAACGGAGCGGGTATCGAGGGTTTGGGAATACGTGCTGAGCGGCACGCGGGCAGATACGAGCGAACAGTTTTAAAACGATTAGTGTTGTTGTTATTCGTACTCTTGGGGTTGTTGGGGGGCTGGTTCCGGCGCAACCCCCAAACGCTTGAGCGTGAGTTTGATTTTCAAACGAATTGCAGCCGGCGCTGAGGCGAGATCTCCAGTGCGGATTTGGACGCCCGAAATGGGTACGGAAAGAATGGGCACAATGCCCAACAGCAATTCTTGTTCATTTTGAACAGGACTCGCTGTCGGCGCCGCCGCGGCCTGTGTACATTTGAGACAGAAGGCCGCCTGCCCAACAGCGGCCGCTGTTGGTTTGGGACAACATTTGCTGTTGGGCATCGTACCCATTTTTTCGGTACCCATGGCGGGCGTCCAAAGCGGATTCGCCAGGAAGTCTCGGGCGAGAGCGCGATTCCTAAGTCAGTGATTCGGAAGTCCCAGGCGAGAGCGCGATTATCCTGAATGGCGAGAGCGTGGCGCGCGAATCAGTCTCGAGAAAGGCAAAGGCGAGAGCGCGATTTTTTTTTATAAATTGCAAGGAGGAGGAGGAGGAGGAGGAGGAGGTCTCCAGCGAGAGCGCGATTCTTCCGTAAATTGCAAGGGAGTGTCAAGCGGGAGCGGCTGTTGTTGTGAACCGGTGGCCAGGGGCACGCTTTGAGGAAGAAGACGTTCCCTGATTGAAAACAGGGTGCGAGCTCTGGCAGGGGCATCTCACTTGAAAAACACCATATGTTTCCGGAGGGGGGAATCAACAATAATTATTCTTCAGTAGTGAGATCGCAACAACAGCAACAACAACACGACTAGTTAATATTATTACGAATAATAATAATCATAATAATACTCATAATAATAATGATAAGAATAATAATAATCATAATCATAATAATAATAATAATAATGATAATAACCAATATGAATAGTAATAATGATACTAATAATAATGGTAATTAAAATAATAGTAATAACAACGCTAATAACACTAATAAGAATACGATTTATCATCATAGTACTCACAAGAAAATGCCAATAATAATAACAAGCATCATCAACAACACCAGCAATAACAACAACGAAAAAAAACAATCATGGTAAGAATGGTCGCTCTTGTCTGTTTGCGTGCCGCTCGATACGTATATCCCAAACCCTCGATACCCGCCCCCTTCGTCTTCGGAGGTGCCCCCTTGGGGGTATATGCTTCTGACCTGCAACGTGTACTTCGCGCAGCCTCGAAGGCAGGGAAAACGAGGACGGATGGAAGGAAGGGGCGAGGGCGAGGGAGGAGGATGGAACACGAGAGAGAGCGACTAGCATGAGAGGGGGCCAGGAACAGAAATCACGTGGCAGAGCCAGCCGGGCTGCTCGGGCCGGTGGACCCTGACGGGCGGGTCGGGAAGGCGGGCCCGAGCGGCCGGGTCGATCAGGCGGGTTGCTGAAGCGTGCGTCCTGCATGGATCGCGAAGCAATATCGAACGATAGCGCGATTCCCAAACTCGCCGGCCCAACGGGCCAGAGGCGTGCTAAGATCTCCAGTGACTGGTTCAGAAGTTCCTAGTTCGCGCGCGCGGGGCCGTCCCTGGGGGTCCCCAGCGAAAAATAGCGTGGCAAGATCCGATAAGACATGGTTTTGCTCCTGGGCGCCACCCCCTGGGCCCCCCATAAAGCCCCCAAACGGGCCAAGAGGCCCCCAAAAGGCCCCCAAAATGGTCCAACAGGCGTCCAGGACGCACAAGATCGCTCCAAGACGCCCAGGATGACCCCCAGACGGCCCCAAAAGCCTTCCAAGAGCACTCCCCAGAGGGCCCCAAAAGGCAAAATTCATCGATGTCCCTTCGGTTTGTGTAAGATTTTGGCATTCTTGCCCTTGCGGCTTCCCAGCGCTCGAAGACGGCCCAAGAGGCCTCCAGGATCGCGCCAACACGGCCCAAGAGGCCCCCAAGCGGGCCCCAAGACGGCCCAAGAGGGCTTGCCTCCAAGACGGCTTTAGAAGGCCCCAAGGACGCCCCAAGAAAGGCTGCAGAGGGGGAACACGAAACTACATTTCAAGCCCTCAGCCTTCAGAGGCCCCCAGGAGGCCCCAAGAGGCCTTCAAAAACCCAAGGGCCACGAGCTTTTCTGTTCTGGCCGACCCGACCCCGCCACGGGTCGGTGGCGGAATGCGCCGCATGGACCACACAAACGCGGGCAAGCGCCAGCGATGGCATATTCATCGCGGGCCGGCGGAATGAGCGAAGCGATTAAATCAATCGTGAGAAATCTATAGCGAGAACATGATTTTTGAGCGTCGATGGCGCAGCGTCTGAGTAAATTGTGAGGATGTCTCACGCGAAAGCGCGATTCCTGTATACATTGTAAGGAAGTCCCTTCCCTCGCGAAACCGCGATGTAGGATTTAATTGTGAGGAAGTATCAGGCGGGAGCCGCGGTTGCTGTAAATTGGGACCCCGCAGCAGAATTCGGAGATTCAAACTTTCCCCTGACTAAACGCCGGGCGCGAGCCCTGGGAAGGGCATGTCATTTGAAAAAATACCATATGCCCCGGAGGGGGGATCAACAATAATCATTGTTTAGAGATGAAAAAAACAACAGCAGCAGCAGCAACAACAACAACAATAATTTTAAGACTGCTCGCTCCTATCTGTTCACGTGCTACTCAATACGAATATCACAGACCCTCGGTGCCCGCCTTCGTCGTCTTCGTTCGTACCCCCTTGGGGCTGTTTGTTTTACCTGCTACGTGCATTTAGTGCAGACCCTAAAACAAGGGAAGAGAGGACGGGTGGAAGGGGGAGGGAGAATAATGGAGCACGAGAGAAATTAGCAGGAGGGGGGCAAGGAGCAGAAAACAAGTGGTATTAACCAGACGGGCAGATCGGGTGGGCAGACCCATAGCGGGCAGGTCGGGAAGGCGGGCCCAGTCGACGAGGTCGAGCAGGCGGGTTGCTGAAGCGTGGGCCCTGCATGAATCGCGAGGAAGTCTCGAGCGATAGCGCGATTCCTAAGTAAATCGTAAGAAAAGCCAGCGTGGGCCACGAAGGGCATAACATCCGAGGCCACAGAGGGCAGCGGCCGGGCCGCTGAGGGCAGCACCGGGGCCACGAAGGGCAGCGAAGGGGCCACAAAGGGCGACAGCGGGGTCACGAAGTGCATGCATATGGGGCCACGACGGGCGCGAGCGAGCGGGGGCCACGAAAGGCATTCGCATACGGGGCCGCAAAGGGCGACAGCGGGGCCACTGAGGGCAGCAAAGGGGCCACGAAGGGCACCGAGGGGGCCACGAAGGTCGACAGCGGGGATACGAAGGGCATGCGTATGGGGCCACGACGGGCGCGTGCGAGCGGGGGCCACGAAGGGCATCTAATGCGGGGCCACAATGGGCAGCGACGGAGCCACTGAGGGCAGCAACGGGGCCACAAAGGGCAGCGAGCGCAGGCGACCGCGGAATTAGTACGGGCAGCGAGAGACATCGAAGGCGGGCGAAGGGCCGCGAGCGGCGACTGCAGCCATTAACGGGCTAGTCGGGCGGGCAGGCCCCGACGGGCGGGTCGAGCGGGCGGGTCGTTGAAGCGTGAATCCTGCTTGAACCGCCAGGCAATATGTAGCGGGAGCGCGATTCCTCAAGGACCGGCATCTGAATAAATTGTGAGGAAATATCAAGCGAAGCGGTTCGGTGGGAAGTTGCGAGGAAGTCCCAAGCGAGAACGCGATTCTGCAATAAATTGTCGAGAAGTATCACGCGGGTGCCGCGATTCGGTGGTAAATTGTTAGGAAGTCCAAAGCAAGAGCGCGATTCTTCAATAAGTTGTGAGTAAGTATCAGGCGGGAGCCGTTGTTGTTGTTGTTGTAAACCGGGGGCCAACGACACAGTTTGAGCTTCAATATTTTCCCTTGTAAAAAACCGGGTGCGAGCCCCAGGAGGGGCACTTCAATCGAAAAAGTACAATGTTCACCAGGCGGGGGGGATCAACAATAATTATTTTTCAGAGATGGGAGTTCGACGACAACGACAACGAGCGACAACGACTGCAACAACAACGACAACAACAACGACACACAACAATTATAACAAGAACAACAGCATCAACAACAATCCGCACCGCGGAACACCACCCCAGCCACGCACCCAGGGACAGCGAACGACTGTTCAGCCCCCTCCCTCTGAGGTAGACTGCCGGCAGACCCTCGAGCAAAATACGTCGCTTCCGTAGGCCCGACGTAACATCGACCACTCTTGGGTGCATAAGCTTTGTGGTCGACCCGTTTCCCTCGAGGCCCTTCGGGGGTGGACAGAACCCCCCAACAGTGACACGTCGATCTGTGAATTGTCCGTTTTCGGTTCTCGAGATGGCGCCGCGGCCGTTATTTTCCAGGCTTGCGCCCGCCAGGTTTGGGCCTCAGGTCGTTTTCACTAAACCACGTTTTACTAAAGGGGGTCTGTCAAGAGGAAAAGAAACACTCAGACACAATTAATCCTCGCTTCCCAGGAAAATATGGGAAAATATGGGAAGTGGGGGGAAGACCAAACCCAGAAAATATAGGAAATGATGGGGAGTCTTTTTATTTGTGTGCATCGATTTGTGTATCCTGGGGCCCCTTCCGTCTGTCCATCCCCGAGCCCTGCCCCGCGCCAGTTTGCGGCAGCCCTGGGCCGAGCGCGCCGGTGGAGGGTTCGCAAAAAGGGTTTTTTTGCAATCGTTTTTTTTGCCAATCCGGTTTTTTTGCAATCCTGGTTTTTCTTGCAATCCTTTTTTTACTAAAGGGGGTCTGTCCATCCCCGAGCCCTGCCCCGCGCCAGTTTGCGGCAGCCCTGGGCCGAGCGCGCCGGCGGAGGGCTCGCGAGGCCCTCCCGCGAAGAAAAGGCAGGGCCGGAGAGCTCGGCACGCCCGCGGAGCTGCCGAAAGAGAGCGCCGGCGCGCGCGAGGGCGTGGCCGCAGGAGGGCCCCGGAGCGGGAGCCCCGAAGGAGGGAGGAGGGAGGAGGGAGGGGGGAGGGAGGAGGGAGGAGACAGGAGGGAGGAGAGGGAGGAGAGGACAGGACGGAGTAGACAGGAGGAGGGAGGGAGGGAGAGAGGAGGAGAGAGGAGGAGGGAGGAGGGAGGAGACAGGAGGGAGGAGGGAGGAGGAGAGGAGGGAGGGAGAGGGAGGAGGGAGGGTGGAGGGAGGAGGGAGGGAGGAGGAGGAGGGAGGACGCAGCTCCCAGGGCGCGACAAAGCCCCCAAGGGCAGGGGCGGCGGCCGGGGGCAGCCACGCGCAGAGGGGGGGGGAGGGGGAGGGCTTCTTAGAAGCACCCCTGCCTCTGAGGAGGCGCGGGCCTCAGCTGCAGATGTGGGGCCAGCGCCTTCTGAGTAGCAGCCTCCCTCTCAGAGGCCCTCCCACCTCTCTCCAGCCCCCTCGTGCGCGCCACCAAAATTGGGAGTCCCAGAGTTGGAGGTTGGTACGGATTCCCTTCGATCATCATCCGTTGAAGTTGGAACGACACAGAGAAGACTAGCATGGCCCCTGCGCAAGGATGACAGGCGCAAACCGAGAAGTGCATGCAAGTCTGAAGTTGGAGGTTGATAGTGTGGGGGCGTTCGTCAAGGGATGTTCCGAGGAGGCTCCAGACCCTGGGGCACCCCTTCTCTGCTGAGGGCGGCGGTGCTATCCACCGGCTTCCAGCCAGCGGATTCTTGTCTCAGGGTTCCTTGCCCAGTGCCCTCGCCGTGGGGCCCCCGCCTGACCCGGTGGACGGCCGCATTGCCCTCAGTCTGGGCTCTCGAGGGGGCGTCGAGGTCGCAGTTTGTCCAATGCCCCCACCGTATACTCGGCCCGGATTAGTAGGTCGACCCTGCCAGCTCAAGGGTACCCTTGTGTCCTGTGTCTCGCGACCCATGCCTCCTACATTCCTATGGCAGTGTGCCCCTTGGAAAGGGTCTTTCGTTCTCTCGCGTGTCCTGTCCAATGAAGTCCAACTGTAGAGAACCCGCCTGGCCAGGTCGACGGCCAGATCGCCTTTTGCTTGGGCTCTCCAGGGGAGCGTCGAGGTCGCAGTTTGTTGCGTGGCTGGCGCCCGCCAGGGCTGGCTCCAAGTCGTTGTTGCGGGCTGGGGTTTTGCCTCAGGGGGGCTTGTTGTCTACCCCTGGCGAGGCGGTGCGGTGACCGCGCTGTCGGACGAGTCAGTGGGGATGCGGGGCTCGACAAGCAGAGAGCGGCAGTAACAGAAACCGGTGGCGCTCCGCCGGATTTCCTGGGTCGGCTCTGAGCTCCCCCCCTCACCCCTGGAAAAGCGCTGAAGTGACGTAGCAGCCGCACCGCCCGAAGAGAAGAGAGGTCGCAATATCGTTATCTGATACTTCAGCATGTGCGTCTGTGCCGAAGAGTGTTTCCAAGACTCGCAAATCTTCATCCGTAGCCAGTTTGGCTCAAGTTCTGACCGCGTGGAATCGGCGGCTAGAGTCCGTGAGGTCTGGCTCCAAGCCCCGGGCCATCAGGTTCCTTGACCCTTTTTTTCACAATCCTTGCTGGGAGCCCTCGTGCGACAGCAAGCCTTTTTGCCAAATTCATTCCTTCCGAACCTTTTTCACACCACGGTCCGCATTACCCCAGTTGACCCAATGGGTGGGAGCTCCGGTTTTAGCACTAGGGTGAAACAAAACAGGAGAAGCGTGAGACTCGCCGAACCAGCCAAGCGCTGCATCCGAGATCCCCATAGATGAAGGATGAGAGTTAGAGCCCCCCCCGACTTGCGCCCCCTTATCGAGATCATTTGCGCCGAGAAGACGACATGAGCCCAAGACAATTTCGGAGCAAGCGGATCACCAGCTCATATTCGGACCTCAAGTACTCCGATTGTACACACTCCAGGAGTGATAGGATTGATACGCCATCGATGGATGTGGCCCCTCTTGATCCGCCCAGCTGGATGACGTAGCTGATCGTAGGCATCAAGGACTCAAACAATAGGATTGTCTCTATCGAGCAGAGGTTTACTCAGGAAGTCCAAGCTATTGAGTCAGCCATGTACGGCACGGACCAAAGCGAGCAGAAACTCAACCTCCGCATCGCCAACATCGAACCCAGCCAGACCGAACCCATCAACAACGCAGTTGTCACCACGACTGGCTCCAATCGACAGCGAGCGCATCACCGACGACTCAGCCAAGCTCAAGAGCCACCCCACCCCAGTTCAATCATCGCGCGCGGGCCTCCTCCTCCTCCTCCTCCTCCTCCTCCTCCTCCTCCTCCTCCTCCTCCTCCTTCGGACGTGAAGCTTAACGTGCTGAGCTGTTCCTCGCGAGTCCCACAATCAACACGGGCGGCGACGGAGAGAGCCCATCGAGCTATCGCTGTCGGGTTCCCTCCGAAGATGACGCAGGCAACTTTGTAGCGGGCGGCTGACACGGCGCCGACGGCTGGCGTGCCACAGGGCAGACAGGGACCGATTGTTCGAACATGAGGTAGCCTCAGAAGATCACGCTCGATGTTGCTGACTCGCTAAAAACAGCCGAGTTCCTCAACGCGATCAGTTCCCAGGCTCCGATTGCTCTCCCTGGCCCGAGCTACCCGAAGAAGCAGGTCATTTTGCGCGCCAAGAGAGACCTTGAGCCTGGCGCTCGCCGCCTCTTTCTGGCCACGCGCGCGGTCCGCGGCGCTCTTTCTGGAGCCTGCCCAAAGACTCGGCAAGGAGACGGGGCCCAACGGGTTTGGAGGAGATGCGCATGTCCTGCGGGCCCTCGAAGACCCGGCGCCCCTGCGCCACCCTGCGCCCTCTTCTCCACAGACGGCCAAGCCAGAGATTGTCCTCCTTTTCTTGATCGATGAGTGCCACGCGGCAGCCCCCCCCATTGGTCGACTCGCAGCCCTTCTCAGGATGACCGCCGCAGGCTGCGGGCCATGGGAGCGACGCCTGCGACGCCTCGCAGAACGCGCCCTCGCGCTGCGAGCCCGCTCGGCCTCCGCAGCTGTCCGCCGCGCCGATTGATTATTTGCCTTCGGCCGCCCTGGGCCGTCGGTCTGAGGATGGCCCCCCTCTGCGTTTCCTCCTCCTCCTTCTCCTCCCCCTTCCCCCTCTGCCCCCCGCCAAGTGCCCCCGACCCTGGGGGCGCCCGCTGTCTCGGCCCCATCGGGTCTCCCAGATGACCGCCGTGGCCCGCCCGGTTTCGCCCCCGCCCTGGGCAGGGCCCGCCCCCCCCCCCCCCCTCTGAGGATTGGCTCCTGGATCTTGGAAGGCACGTGCTCTCGTTTCTGTTGCTGCTGCTGTGCGGGAGCCGCTCCACGCCGCGCTGGACACTGCAAGCTCGCGAAGCCGTTCGCGATTGTCCGCGCCCGGGCAACGCGGGCAGATAGGGGAAATCACTGAGCTACGGCGAGCTCCGCCATTTCGAGATCGGCCACTCTTTCGTTTTTTTGCTCGCTCTGCGACAAGGGGCGCGATTGCTGAGCTTTCCCCCTCCATCTCCCGCGCCGATGTCATCGAGGGCCGCGTCCTCAAACCGCATTTGGATGGGCCTCAAGGGAGCCTCGTGCATCATCAACGCCCACGTGCCTAATGCGAATGATCTTAATTGCTCTTCGCGAAATCCTACGCGCCATTTCTGGTCCCGCTGTCTGTTTTGCGGCATTGACCGGCGGCGGGAACTTCGCAATCTCTGCGGACGGCAGACTTCGCGCGGATGGCAGCGGGCGGCCACCCAGAGATAACCGCCACGCGGCCCCCGCGGGTCGCGGCTTGAATTCCACCAGCGGGACGACGCGAGACCGGGGGCGATGGGGAGCGAAGGCGCGCGCATCTAAGCTCGACCGCGCACGCGGCGCGGCCCCGTCTGCGACGGTCGTTGACCTGGCGACCAACGGAGAAGTTCCAGGACAGCTCAAGGCTGACCCGGTCTCGGATCATCCACCGATCGCCATTTCCACCAACACCTCTTGGCTGGACACTGCGGAATTTTAGCCCCGCTTGGAATTTTGCGCTTCCCTCTCGGCTTCCAGAGAGGGGGCATCTGAGGATGTCTGAAGCGAAACTTCAGTTGTTCCTCTTCGCTGTTAGGTTTCTTCCAGAGCCACGCGCAAGTGCCCCAAGAGGGAAGAGGGCACCCGACAGGCTGGGCCCGAAGCGGGCCCAGGAAAGGCCCAATATGGCCGCAGATGGGACTGCGCCTCCGAGGAGGCTCTCCCGAGAGGGCCCCGAGTCGGGCCCAGGAGGGGCCCAGGATGGCCCAGGGGGGCGCCTGGGGGCCCTTCCGCGAGCCCCGGCCCGCCCCTCCCCGCCCCCCCCCCGGGGGGCGTTCCCGGGTGCGTTCCCCCACATGAGGGACGCACGAGGAGCTCCTTACTTTCAGAAAAGGGGGTAACTCTGAAAGCGAGGGGCTTTTTGCCGCCGAGGGCGGCATTTTGAGGCCCCCCCGCCCGCCCGCCCGGGGAGGAGGGCATTTTGACGCCCAGGGCGGCATTTTGATTCCGAAAGTCAGGCCCAGGCCCGTTCCCCCAGCCCCCCCGCGACGAGGGAGGGGTCGGCGCTCGCCCGACCGAACTGCGCCATCGAGGCGCGCCGCGTGGCCAAACCTTTTGTCACATTAGTGAGTTTGACCTTCTCGCCGAGGTCTCTTGGGGCGTCTTGGGTGCATCCTCGAGGCATCTTGGGGTTCTTGGGGGCGTCTCGGGGGCCCCTGAGCGCCTCCCGGGGCAGTCTCGGGGCGCACTTGGGAGCCAATGGGCGGCGTGAATCAGTTCGGCCCCCTCTTGGCGATATGCGCGGGCACGCATATACACGGCGCAAAACAATGGACAACAATGCCTGGATTGGGGGGGGGGTAGGAAGCGGAGGAGAGAGGTTACGAGAAGAAATTGGAGGAGGAAGTGGTTCCTGGACATAGCCCCGAGGGAACCATCATACGCTTTGAGGGGCAAGGCGTCGCAAGAAGAGGGGGAGCAGGGGCAATCCGTCTCAGGAAGAGGAGGGGGATGAGACCGGCGCAGGGCGGAGGCGGGGAGGATGGGGAGAAATGGGAAATTATAAGAACAGGGAGAAACGATGACCGAGGCAAGGGCGGGAAGGAACAAGGGGAAGGAGGAGGCGAAGAGGATCAGGAGCAGTGGGGGAGGTGGGGCAGGGAGAAGCGGGAGGAAGATCAGGACGAGGCCATTTCAGCAGCAGCAGCAACTGAAGCATCAGTGGGGCAGGAAAGAGAGGAACAAGTGTGCAGTGAAAGCTGTATAGATGGATTTGCTCGCCCCAGGCGTCACGTTGCTCTCGATGGGCCGAGGTAACCAGGGCAAGGCAAGGCAAGGCAAGGTCAGGCACGGCAATACAAGGTGAGGCAAGGTAAGGCAAGGCAAGGCAAGGTGACCCATCCAAGGCGAGGCTCGGCAAGGGAAGGCATTGCAAGGCAATGCGAGGCGAACAAAACAGACGCATCCAACTTCAACAGTCTGACCGAAACCATGTCGGCTCAAACCTGCAGGGGCACCCGGACCCCGTAAGCGAACTTCAATTTTGGCACGATGGCGCCTAAGAGGGTTGCCAGGAAGGCACCCGACGCTGCTTCGGCAACAAACCTGAGGAATCTGCACGGCGACGAGGCTCTCAACGCGGAGTACGTGGGCGACTTTGAAGCGATGATGCAGCGCCTGCAGGGCATTGAAGAGCTGGACAACATCGCGGCCGTGGACCCCCAGGTGGCCTCGGAGGGAGGCCACGGACAGCCGATCGTGCCGAAAGACGCCCAGATCATCTTGGAGCGCGGCGAGCAAGCTGAGGGGACTGGCTCACTGTACTTGCACAACATCCGCTGGCGGCCCCAGGTGTGCTTGCCCTACAACGTCAAGGGCATCAAAGACATGCAGGACCACTCGTTCAGAGTTCCGCCGACGGGTACCACCAGGATCACGGTTCACATTGCCTTGGAGAAGCCCGAGGACGCCAAAGAGATATTGACGACGAAGCGAGGCACATTGCACAGGATCTCACCAGAAGAGCAGGTGCACGCGCTCTTGTGGGCAGTCGACACCTACTTCAGCCTGCCGTCTAATAAGAAGTCGGAGGATATAACCAAGAGATGGGTGAATGCCCTCCGGAACGTCAACTATGTATTTCACAGCATCAGCAGCGTGGACAGGATGATCAAAGAATCGATCGTTCTTCGGAAAGACTGGACGCAGCGCGGTGTAGTCAGCCATCGCTCACCCTTTGGCGCTCCTACTGATGGCGATTGGCCAGCGCAAGGCTCTGGAGAAGCAGAGCGGCAAGATCGCCACCGATGCGCTCTACAAGTTCTACGAGGGAATCAAGTGGGCGACCACATCTGAAAAGATTTCAAAGAACTTGCTGGAGAACGCGAGCGCCATTGCAACCAAGTGGCACCTTTGCACGGATACGAATTGCCGGGCAGTTGTGAAAAAGTCAGAAGAGATGTATGGTTCGGAGGGCCCCTTCCAATCTGTTTTGGCAATCTACCTCATGTGCCTCAAGGCCGGCAAGCACCCCGACGCAATCGGCTGGATGTTCGAAATGATCTTAGACCAGTTCCGGGCCAGGATTGCATATTCCCCAAATGCCCTGATCGAGTCGAGCGGGGAGTCGGATTGGTAGTGGGAAGCGGGGGCTGGGATATCTCGCTCCGCATCCCCCCCGTGCCCCCTCTCATCCCCCCCCCCCTCTTCTCGATCAAAGCATGGGTCGGGGATGACGTTTCAAGGAACATCACGCGCGACAGTGTTGGCTCCAAACAGATGCAGACGAGGGGCCGGGTAACCGACGTCGACGTAGTTGCGTTCAAGAAAGATGATCGATTGGCTCACTTGCTGGACGAGGAGCTGAACAGTTTCAATTTCACCGCGAGCAGGAAGAGCCTCATGCGGTCCTACCTCAGATCGCCAAAACATTTCCGCAGCAAGGAGGGTTTCATGGACAACGAGTTCGCCAAGCACGCTGGCGCTCCAGACCTCAGCCACAAGCACGATTTCCAAGCCACAAGCGCGAGCTCACTCATCTACGGCAGAGCGTACGACCCCGTCATCAAGCAGTGCCTGAAGCAGAGCAAGTCTGTCAAGGACACTTTCGGCCATGGCCAGATCGGGACCGACTTGCAGCAGGTCGGTTGATGTTGCTGGTGTTGATGGTGGAAAGGTTGTTGCTGTTGCTGTTGCTCTTGTTGTTGTTGTTGATGGTGTTTGTGTAGTTGTTGTCATTGATATTGATGTGGATGCTGCTGTTGGTGTTGTTAATGGCAAGGTTAGCTTGACTGCTGTTGTTGGTGATGTTGTTATGGCTGGTGTTGTGGTGGTTGTGATTGTGGTTGTTGGTGGTGGTGGTGTTGTTGCTGTTGTTGTTGGTGGTGTTGGCGCTGTTGTCGCTGATGTTGAGGGCGAGGAGGTAGGGGGGCGAGAAAATGAGGAGGGGGAGGAGGAGGGCGAGCAGGAGGCCAGAGGCCTCTTGGATGCTTGGGGGCTCCTTTGGAGGCCTCTGAGGCCGTCTCGGATGCCCCTCGGCGGTTTCGGGGGCCCCTTGGGGCGTCTTCGGTGCCGTTGGCGGGTGCCTTTTGAGGCCTCTTGGGGCCGTTTAGGCACCGCTCTGGGGCCCTTTGGGGGCCTCTGGAGGCTCTCTCGGGAGCCCTGGGGGCCATGTTGAGACCATCTCGTTGGACATCAATCAAAGGAAGGAGGGATTCTTCCTTGCCGGCGCCCCTCTAGAGTTTTTAAAATCGCCAATTGGGGCCCTCTTGGAATGCTCTTGGGGCCGCATCGGCGGCTCCCTGGGCCTCGGTTTTGGGCCATTTTGAGGCTTCGGAAGGCCATCGGAAGCGAGAAGGCGAGAGAACCACATGCGTGGATTTCCCTAACTGAGGTTTTGAAGGATTTGGGGGGCCAGTTAGGGGATCTGTTGGGGGTGCTCCGAGCCCTCTCGGGGCCGTCTTGAGGCGGTCTTGGAGCCTCTTAGGTGCTCCAGGACCGCCTCTTAGAGGCTCCGACATCTTGGGGGGGACCTTGAGTCATCTTAAGCCGTCTTGGAGGCCAACTTGGGATTTCTGAGGCCCACGTAGAGGGCTGGCGGGATTGAGTGGGTGGATTCGGGGCGGTTCGCACAACGTATGTCTGCGCGGTCAAGGTCCATGACGCGACCTCGGAGGACGCGAGCGCCGCCAAGTCCACCGACGAGGGGAAGGACGACAAGCAGGAGGAGGCCGCCGACAAGAAGGATGCTGAGCAGGTTGACGAGTCTGATGATGGAATGTACGTGGACGACGAATACGACGAGGCGAAGGCCCGCTGGTGGCAGCACGCAAACCAGCTCGTATCCACCTTCGTCCGCACAGCGGCTCCGGGCCCCAACGAGGCGGCCGTGATTTCTGCTGTGAAAGAGACACCTGCTTGCAAAGCGGTCGACGCCGCTAACTCGGACAGGGTGGTCATCATCTACAACAGCAAGCAAGAGGGGCAGTGCAAAACGCAACCGCATATCAGGATGCCAGTGCACCGCCAGCACTACATGGCCCGCCGCGTCCAGAGCTTGCTGAAGATCATGACGGACGGTGACTGGGGGGCTGACCCCGACCTGATCAGTATCCACCCGAAGGCGATCTATTTATTTCTGGACGCTTTTAAAAATGACAACGTCGAGGGGTTCAACAAGTGTTTCAGCACGGGGGATTCAAGGCTTCAGAGGGCCACGGCGAAGTACTTCCTGACGTACGAAGAGAGCAGCCTTAAGAAGCGGAAGTCTCGGGAGAACGAAGCAGCATTCGCAGTGGTGGAGCTGATGACGGCCATTAGTTCGGAGCCATTGGACCTCGTTCCAAAGGCGTGCTTAACGTTCCCCAACAGCTCCAACCTCAACAACCACGTCGGCCCGCTGGTGACGACGGACCCGCGCGACCCAGACGAGCGGACCCTCAGCGTGATGGAGAAGCGGCAACTCCTCGGAGACGCGCTGGTAGAGGGAGGTGGCCGGGCTGCTGGATGCACTCAGGCCCGCGCGGCACCAAGCTAAAATTCATGGCGAATGAGAGGGGGGGAGGGGGAGGGGGATCAGGAGGATCAGGACGGCCAGAGGGAGTAGGATGCGGAGGGGAAGGATAATCGGGGCGAGGAGGACGAGAAGGAGGAAGGAATAATGGGAGGAACGTTCTGGAAGGAGAGGAGTAGGTAGATGAAAAAGGAGAGGGATAATGATGACATGGAGGATGACGACGAGCTCGACAGGCTAAGACGAAGGATGTCGTGATGAGGAAGCCCACCGACATTGAGCGCGTGTCATTTCACGCCAACTCTGTCGACTTCTACAAACAAATCACTCATTCCTTTTGTGCGAGTGGCGTGGTGGACTGCACTCCTCTGAGCGAGAATTGCGCCATGGCGTCGATAATGCCCAAGAAGCCCTGCACGTTGATTTGCTACACAGAAGCTCACGCGCAGATGATCGAGAAGAGGCTGCGCCAGCGTGTATTCGCTGCGCTGACGAAGGAGAGCTGCGAGGAGCTGCACGGGCCCATGGCTGCGTCAGACCTCGCAGGCAACCCGGCGGAGACCGCTGCCGAAGGCGAAGGCGCCCCCGAGGAGAAGAAATCTGCGGCCAAGAAGAAGGCCCAGAAGCGCGCCGCCCCCGAGGGCACAGCTGGCGAGAAGCCCCTCAAGATGACCAAGGATGATGCTACAGGCGCGGAGGGAGGCGCCGCTGGCAAGCTGAGCGAGTTACTGAAAGCCCTCGACGCTGGCGGGGAGAAGCTAGGGGAGACCTCGGGCGCTGCCGGGGATGAAGTCGGCGAGGCAGCGTAGGTAGCCTTGGCCCATGTGCAAGCGTTAGGAGCCATGACCATAGCGATGCACGCAACGAACAAAACATAAACAAACGTAGCATCTGCGTTTTCGGAAGGCACGGCGCCTCACCTTCAAACTGCGAGCCAATTTTCTTCCAGATTTCAAGCAATGCGATTTTGCATTCAACTCGCTTGGACCAATCGCTGGGCGCGGAGATTTCGAACTAGGCATCCCAACCTATTGGCAGTGAGGGATCGAGGCGGCGACTGCACGCCGGTGTGCTTCACTGCGCGCGAAGCTGCAAGGCAAAGCAGATGCATGAGTCGCTGTTTTTCGTGCGCCAGATGTGTTTATGTACATCTAGACTCTGGTGCTTTCTGAAGCGACGAAGACAGTTGGCTCTGCCTCTTAGAGCCTGCAGCGAAGGGAGATGGTGGCACGACGAAGATGTGGGCGAGAAATAGAAGGTCAGGACGAGCACTTACCCGAGCTAGAAAGGATGATATCAAGGAGGAGGACGATGATGGGTCGCGGGGTGGGTCGCGGGATGGGTCGCTGGTGGTTCGACGCCATGCAAAGACAAAAAAACATTCAACAACAACCGCAACAAGAACAACAACAACAACCCCAGCAACAACAAACACAAGACAACAACGACAACAACAACAACAACAACGACGACAGCAACAACGACTACGACAACAACAACAACAACAACGACGACAACAACAGCACAGCCAGCCGCAACACCAACAACAACAGCAGCAACAACAACACCAACAATAGCATCAACAGCGGCAGCAACAACCACAACAACAACAAGTAATTACTACCACAGCAACATCAACCACGACAACAACATCAACTACAACAACAACGATAATCCGCATAACGGAATCCCACTTCAGCCACGCACCCAGTGACAGAGACTGACCGTTCGGCCCCCTCACTCTGACGATGGTGATGATGACGATGATGGTGGTGGTGATGATGACGGTGATGATGACAGGGAGGGGCGCGATGATGGGGCCTGAGGGTGGGCCCACCGACCTGGCCTAAGGCCATATTCCAAAAGGCGTCGCTTCTGTCTCTCAGTCGGAAGGGCTCCTAACATCCGCTTGCGTTCTATATGTTTGGTTGCCGCTCCCGCGGCGGCGCTCGATCGCATTTAGTTTGGGCTTTGCTCAGAGACAACGAATGATGTGGCGACTCGCTTACTTCATGTCCACATTCTCCTGTTCGCCACATTATTATTCCTCCTTCCTCTAGGCCACTCGGCGTTGCATCCCGCGTTCCGTCTCTCATGGCTTCTGGCGCATCCCGCCGCCGCGCCTGGCCCCGCAGCTCCATTCGGTCTGAGGCATATCTGGGAGGCGTCTTCGGGTGTCTTGGAGGGCCTGAGGATGCTCTACCGCGGGGGGCATCATGACCGCTGGCCCCGAGCCCGAGGGTCCAAACCCCGACCCGGGCAGCCCCCGAGCGGCATTGGGGCGAGCCCAGGGATGCGGATTCCACGGGCGCCCCCGCGCTGGCGGTGTGTGCTGTGATGTTTGCACGGTGGCGTGTGCGATGTGATTTGTTGCTGGTGGTGTGAGATGTGAGTTGTGCTGCTGGTGGTGTTTGCTGTGCGGTTTTTGTCGTTGGTGGCGCGTGCTGTTTGATTGTTGGCGCCGGCGACGTGTGCTGGGAGCTTCTCGGACCATCTGGCGCCCAAAGCTTCTACTCTACATGTGTATGGAATGGCGCGAATGGCTCTCTCGAGGCACTCTCGTGGGCCATCCGGGCGCCCCCCCCCCGGATAAATCTTAATGCTTTCGCGCAATGGGGAGGTGATTCCGCCTCAACGCCGGCCGCGCATGCGCGTCAGGGCAGAGGCCCATTCCCCCCAATAATGACGCCACTGTCAGCACATAGCACCGCGTTCCATCATCGGCGTTTTCTAAAGCGAGCAAATACTTTTGTGATCATCGATACCGGCACCACGTTGCAGTTTCCCCCAGAATATCCAGCACATCTCATCTGCACAACGGCCGTTTTGGCTCAACCTCCATATGTTTAGGCGCGTGGTCAAGATGCCAGCGCATCCTAAGCCACAGTGGTCAGACCAAGAACTCAGATGCGGTTTCGCCCCACTTAGGCCAACGACTGCTTCGCGCAAATCAGCACCCAGGGGGCGTGAGAGGAGCCGGTCTCCACGAGGCGCAGCGGCAGGTCCGACAATCACCACCATCGACGATTGTGTAGGCATTCAATCGATTAGTCATGCAGCGTCTGGCTTGGGAGTCTGGCACAAGTGCCTCGCCGTGAGCGACAGCGACCCAACGGTGCTAAAATTATGGAAGGGGAACTACGCCAACGGTGAGACCAGGTTTTTCCCAGATCTCACCAAGCGGGACCTCTCGGCCATGAAGAGCCCGGGCCCGGTGGACGTGTATTCGGCTGGTTTTCCATGCCAGCCATTTTCGTGTGCCGGTAACAATTGCGGCGCTCAGGATGACCGGGCACATGTGCTACCGCATATCGCGAAGTATCTGCGGACTGGCCTCCCCAAGACGTTCCTGCTGGAGAACGTGGGGGCCTGGCAACTACGCACCAGGACACGCTAAAATGGCTCCTGGCCCAGCTGAAGGCAGCTGCAGACAAAGCGTACTACGTCACCGCCTCCATCATGAAGACGGGGGATCACGGCATACCCCAACATAGGAACAGGATCATCATCGTCGGCATTAAGAAGTCATGCATGCAGGTGGAGTTCAAATTTCCCTCGCCCATTGGGTGCCCATCTCTGGACGCGGTTTTGTCTCCCAAGCAACACGATGCGACAGTCAATCACATGCCTCCGGAGAGCGCGACTGTCGCGCGCAAGAACTTTCTGCAGATGTTCGAAACCATCATTCGAGATATGAACATGAATCCTTTGAGAGAAGACTTCATTGGAGATATCGACAGTTCGAAACCCACAATCATGCACAACATGTCCCCCTGCATTACACAGCGCAGAGGTGGCGCAGGCGGCCACTGGGTTTTCAGCAGGGGTCGCCGCATGGAGTCTGATGAGGTGTGCCGATTTTTCGGCATGTCGTATAAGGCATTCCGAAATCCTCGTGCAATCACAGATCGTCAATTGAAAGCTTTGTGCGGCAACTCGATACCCGTGAATCTGCTGGAGCGCGTGCTCCTGCGCGTGCTCACCGTAGCTGGCATCTGTCGCCGAAGTGACTTGACTACTCGGTGGGAGAATGAGTCGATGGCAGCTGCCACGTTGCGGGCATTGCACTAGGCGAACAGTTAGCAAGGCGACGATACACAAAGCCTGCATCCTTATAGCTGCGCAGTTCCAGGGTAAGCGAGATTGCAATCATCATCAGCAGCATCATCGTCATCACCTTCATCAATACCACCATCATCATCAACAACAACACCATCAGCATCAACATATTTACCCATTGTCGTCGCAAGGCGTCCCAGAGGGGGTGGGGAGGACTCGATAATTCGATATCTCGATATCGGGGGCGGCGCCGGGCGGGGACTCGATATTTCGATATTTCGATACCTCGATATCGGGGGTTGGGATCGATTTCGCGATATCTCGATATCGGGATGCGGGGACTCGGAGTCGAGATATCTCGATGTCTCGATATCGGGGTGCGGGGACTCGAATAGGAGATATCTCGATATCTCGATATTGGGGGCGGGGCCAAAGCGGGGACTCGACATCTCGATACCTCGATACCTCTATATCGGGGGGGAGTTGTTCGGGGTGGTCTCGATGCGCGGCGCCTCGCCTGCCCCCGACCCTCGCCCTGCTTCGCAGGGGTGCCCGCAAGGCCTCCAATGGCCCCTCTGGTCCTGGTGAGCGCGCACGTCCTGCTGCGTTGCGCCATTCGGACATTTCCCAACCGACCCCCAAAAAACTTCCTGCTGACGTTGACGATGATGATTATAATGATGGTGGTGATGATGATGGTGATGGTGGCGAAAATTATGTGTACGCGGATAACGCTGATGATGATGGTGATGATGACCATGAAGTTGGTGATGTTGATGATGAGGTTTTTGATATAAAGGATGGTGGCGATGATTCTGCTGATGTTCACGGTTATGATGATGGTGATATTGATTTTGCTGGCAATGGTGGTGATCATGGTGATGACGACGAGGAACATGAACACCATGAGGGTGATGATTATGGCAGGAGTGATGACGACGAGGATGACGATGGTGTTGATGATGGTGGTGCTGGTGATGAATTATGACGGTGCGTGTTATGGCGGTGATGAACATGATGATGATGATGATGATGATGATGATGAGTATGATGATGATGATGATGAGGAGGAAAAGGAGGATGACGATGCGGATGCTGATGCTGACGCTGCTGCTGATGGTGATACTGATACTGATGCTGCTGCTGCTGATGATGATGGTGATGATGGTCTGGGGAGTTAAGTGCGGGGCCCAGGTGGCATGAGGGTGTTGGTCGGGGCCTGGGCCCTAATTTCCACATGCACCGCCTGTGGGCCCGTACGGGTCCGCTCAAGTTCGGCCCGTCCACGGCGGAAGGCGTGCATGGGTACTGCTCCCTGTCTCCTGAGCGTGGGCCAAAGGGGGTGTACGGGGGTCGGAGGGGCACGCGAAAGTCCAGACGAGGAGGATGACGACGACGACGACGTTGACAATGATGACGCTAACGATGGTGGTGATTGAGATGGTGGTGATGGTTATGGAAAGCGGATGATGCTACGGATGATGATAGGGATGATGATGGGGATGGTGATGGAGGTGATGATGATGAGAATGATGATGATGACGATGATGATGATGATGATGATGATGATGATGATGATGATGATAATGATGATGATGATGATGGTGATGATGATGATGGTGATGATGATGATTCTTATGATGACGATGATGATGATGATGATGATGATGATGATGATGATGATGATGCTGATGCTGATGCTGACGATGATGGGAATGATGATGATGATGATGATGATGATGATGGTGGT